CTTTTAATATGCTTCACGGACCATTTCCACAAAATGGTGTCTGTTGTATAGGTCAGGGAATTTTAGCTAAAATGGTCAGTGAAAACCTGGAAAAGTCAGGCAAATTGAATTCTGCAATTTGCTAGACACCCTGGTCAAGTTCAAGTGCTCGCCTCGTTCTTTTTTTTTTTTTTTTTTTTTTCGGCTCTCGTGTCATGCTTGCTCTATCTTTCGTGAATGCGACTGTGTTCGCCTGCTGTGACTTGCTGAAAACTCATACAGCTTTTTATGCGTGAAGAGCGTCGTTCCTTGGTGTTGCCTGCATTTTTGTGGCAGCCCACAACACATTACTTCGGACCTCGCTGACGCTTCCGTGGGGCCGCTTCTACCATTGTGGAAAGGCAAGTTCGTAGAGTGAGCGTCCTGTTTAGACTCGCCCAGCTGACGGCATGGCGTCTAAGTGGCCCGCACTGACTGCAGAACGTGTTCCGCGCGTGTTGCACGTGTTCTGGTTTCGGCAAAACACATTGACTCGCCTGTGCCCTCCCCTGTGCCTACCTTCAAGTTTTCTGGAGCTCGCTGCCAGGGCCAGGTGCGGCGTTGTCGTCGCTCCGCAAACTTGAGCTTCGGTTTCCTTTAGTGACGTTGTTGCCATGAGCAGCACAGGTCAATGCGTTCAAAAAAAAAAAGTGCGACCACATCTGTAATCTAAATGAGTAGGCAAATGCCTATTTTGTTCCTTGTGTTCCAATCGTGCCACATGACATATGAGCACGAAGTAGAGATTAACAAAGACTTTTATGGTGTTTTTTACAGTGCCTATATATGCCTATTTTCGGTGTCCGTGTCTAAGTGCCTGGAAGTGCCTATAAATGCCCATTTTATAAATCGGTATTTTATGAGCACCATTTGGTAGAAATTTAGTTTTCTATAGCGGTTTGAGACCATCATTTATGTCAAAGGACAACATTGTCCTTTACAAACTCTATGAGGTTCAAATAAGTTTTTTTGTTCAATTTACTTCCAAAAAAAATCGCAGCATATCCACAGACTGAAATATGATGACAGTGGCGAAGTGTCCGTCCGTCCGTTCGTGCATCCGTCCGTCCGTCCAACCGTGGGTTGGTCTGTACTTCCGTGCATCTGTCCGTCTGTATGTCTGTCGGTCTAGTCAAAACTCCAAGTACCACCACTTCACATCTTTTCATCACATATTGACTATATACCATTACCACCATCTAGTGGACATTCCAACAACTAAACTCCCCTGCGGTCGTATTGGGTGACGCCTTAAGGAGCTTCTTTTTATCAAATATTGAATATATACAAATGCCGCCATCTATCAGACATTCCAAGAAGCATCTTTTCATCATATATTGATTATATGCAAGTACGGCCATCTAGCGGACTCCTCTTGGCGCATACCCGAGAGAGGTGGTTACTACAGAGGACGATCGGGTAACACCTTAAGGCACTTCGCCCTTAAAACAACTGCTAACAGCATTGAAATGGGATGTGGCGGTCATCATACGCCACAGCACTGACATGGTCAGAGTTGTTGGAGGAGGAAGAGAGGCTGAGGAAAAAAGATTCTATTTCGGCAGCTCTAAATGGAAGCATGTCTGCAGGAGAACTGGAAGAGAGAAGTAAAGAAGGGAGAAGAAAATTAGAGTGGCGTTTGTGGTCGAGTACGCGGCGAGTGTCTTCTACAGACAGTTCTGTGTCCTGTAGGAATTGAAGAACCGTCCCGAAAATGTAGGTGTAGAGCTGAGAATGGAGCAACAGTTCCCTCTGGGTAGCCGTGGGTAGGTGGAGAATGAATGCGAAACCGTGGAGAGCCACTCATTGAATGCTCATACTTGCTCAAAGGTTTCGGAGGCCTGGTTGAGGAATGCACGGGCAGGTTTAAAATCAATGGCTTATTTAACATACACTTGCCCTATGTAGAACCCTTGAAAAATTATTTTAAGTGGCAACTTGAACAAAATACAGAACAGAGCTGCAAGGTTTGTCGCATGCCAATGCTCTAGAAATGACAGTTGTCCCTATATGAAAAATTGACTAGGATGGAAAATACTCATCTTTTTAAGCAAAGTGCACTTCAAGCTCCGATGTCAATTACATCATGGTAAAACTCAAATTTAAAAAGAAATGTACCTAAGCAGTCCTCATTATGTCTCTTTGCACAATTATCAATGTTCTAAAAAGGCTAAGATTTTAGAATACCATAGCAGATCTAATGTGTGCTAAGTTGTTTTTTTTTTCCTACCATGAGCGAATAGAATGACTTATCAAGAGAGTAAGTGCTCTCTCTGTCAATGAAGATGTGTTTCCTTTTTTTTTTTGGCATTTCAACCCTCTCCTGAAGCGTCTTCACGCTAGGTGGGGTAACCATTGAATAAAGGAAATAAAGAAAAGAAAATGTAATTTGGAAAAAAAAAATAATGATTCATGCATGCGGCTTCTCTTTTGTTCAGAATTTACTTCTCAAAGAACCCTTGTCAAAAAATTGTACTCCTACACTGGAAGTTGCATGTCCAATGAAGAGTGTTGTACCATGATAATTTTGCCAAGAAACTGTCATGTGAGGAGGCAAGCATGAAATGGTTTCCACTCACCTTGTGTATCCATCGAGAGCCCTTCCTTGCCCTCTGCGGAGCCGGAAGATTGCATGATGCATATGCATCAACGCGTCATGCACACATCAAGGCCACTCTCGTGCATGTATGCCATCAATTGTGTTGTTTCAACGTTCTCGGTAGTGTATTACCCATTTTTGTGGGATGGACCGCTCGGTACTTTTGGGGAGGCTGGCACGAATCATGTGTCCTTACCTCAATACACCGCGTTGCACTGCTGGAACTGCCGTCAGAGACGATGCACCAAAAACACGCCAAGCGTTGTCAGGGCTGGCGATAGCACAGTGCGGCAACGGTGAGAAAATGATTGTATGCAAAATAGAGCCCGATTTGAAATAAAATAAGAACACACTCACATTGGTTGTTTTTTATTATTTCTTTCAGTTTTCATTCATCATTCTCAATATTAGATTACACAGATTACTCATGTCGCCTCGAATAATTCTCGCAGTCTCACGTGTATTTACACCGTGGTCACGTGCTATGGCCAGGAAATGGGACGTATTTCATCTGGTTTAAAGCTGAGTAAGAATGTATGGTGAGCGACATCAGTGGGCCAATGCTTACATAAAAGAGTGACATAAGAACAGGACCATTTCTAGTTGTGCGTCACCCCCTCCATCTTGGGATGCACATATCTGAGGAAAAAGGGAAGTCGCATTCAGATGGAAATTTCAACGTCATTCTGCAACCTGAAGCTGTGTGAATCTTAGCAGACGTGATCGTGAGCACCCAGTGCGTGCATTACACTTGTCAGCTGAAAATGCTCAAACCTGGGCAGCAGCCCTTTAAGGTGTTCACCGACATTAGAGATTAGATCCAGCGTTCTTCCCTCCTTGTTTTTAAAGGGTCTGGCTACCTGCACTGCCCTTCCCGGCCATGATGAAATGAAAGGCACCCAAGATTGTTCTGTTGACTGTGGACACTTGATGACTCATCATGCTGAACAATAAAACAAAAGACCGTATTCTGCAAACCATTTGGGAAATGCTTGCCTATGCTCAACCATTGCCGCCTTCGTACTATTACAATCAATTTTTTGCTTCCTGTCATAGATACAAGCTGCGCTCATCTTTTTGAAATTATTTGAACTTACACTGAAATTTATTGCGCTTCTAATTATGATTTTGGAGGCCTTAAGTGGTGTTTTATCTGCATGTTTTTGGCATCTAAAAAGCTTTTTTTAGTGCCTAAATTAATGGCTTCTACACATAACACAAAAGGCCTCCAAGATTTCACACACGATCTATGAGGTGTGGACGTAGTGCTGATGGTAGCACCTCATGCATGTCCGTGCGTGATTACCGTGTCTCCTGTGAAAGCACGAGCAGCACCTGTTTGTACCTGTGAGCTGGCATATGTTCGTATGAAATTTTGCATGGTGAAAATCATTTCCCAGCAACTGTACTCCAATAGACTGCACGCTCCAATACCCTGTGGGTCTTGGTCAGGACATTGGAAAGGTTGTTAACACTTTGAAATTTGTGCGAGCTGTGATGTTATCACTGAGGTTTCGCTGTAATACCAACACATGTCAAGCTTAATCCCATGAATTCCCAGATACCATGTACTTGATACATTAAAAAATGAGCATATGTGCAGTCGTTGAAATGTGCTGCCCTACAGTTAATAACTGGTGGTAATCCAGATGCTCATAAGTTAGACATGCCAGGTTGTAATAACAACCTTGCATGTAATGTATGTGGAGAATCTACATTCCCAATCAAATGCAGTGTTTCATGTTATAACTCGAGCTGCACGATTAATTGCCTTTCAAACAAAATACTCATCACATTCCCTCTTGTTCAATGGCAGTTCCAAAACTTTACACAAAGGCGACCATGCAAGGTTGTAATACAAAGGCGATTACATGCAAGGTTGTAATAACAACCTTGCATGTAATGTATGTGGAGAATCTACATTCCCAATCAAATGCAGTGTTTCATGTTATAACTCGAGCTGCACGATTAATTGCCTTTCAAACAAAATACTCATCACATTCCCTCTTGTTCAATGGCAGTTCCAAAACTTTACACAAAGGCGACCACCTTTGCCAGGTGAGTCGGACAAGGTATCTCTTGTGCTTCTTTGCTTTGCTGTGCACTGCATAAAATGAAAAATGAGCTATAGCTAGCCACTACACTCCTATGCTATCCCATCGGCAGTAGCAACCGCATTTTTGATGACGGCAGAAGTTCTTGAGGCACGTTATGGCATCTCTCATAATCCTATCATGGTTGTGGGACATAAAACGCCAAAATTTTTTACACTGCTTTGTAAGTGGCTCTCGTTCAATCAAACTACTCTTTTTCATTCATATTGACAAGGTTCCCTATGCCCTTTAATATCAGCCTGTGGTTGCCACATGCTCTGTTGTCACAGAAGGATTCAAGGCCCTGGCTGAAATGCTCCACGAGTTTCCACTACTGATCAAGCACTCCCGGTTCATCTTTGTCCCAGGACCTAGGGACCCAGGCCTCTCCAATGTGCTGCCCAGGTCAGTCACAGCCGGCAAAGCTCAGTGGCAGTAGTGTTGGTGGATTTCTTACATCATCCCACACTTATGCTGACCACTTGTTGTAGCTAGTGTTTGGAAGAAGAGCAAAGACTGATGCCAACATTCTAAGTGGAGAAGTGTTTGTCTGAGAAGCAGCTGCACAAAGGTGTGCTGTGAATTGTTCATGTTGTGATAGGATGCGAAAATCCGTAAATAGGAATTGTGTCGAGCTGACGTTTCGACAAGTGTGGTGAGGTGAAAAGGGAGATGAGGATTTATACGTGTCGCTGAATCACAGTTGGCAGATGTTAACAATAACAGTTTTGATACTCCTAGAGGGAGGGCTTAACTTGCATCGGTTTTCTTTGTGTATGTTTCATACCGAATGGATTCAAGAGCCTCTTTAGAAACATTTATACCTACTGGCTGGAGTGAATTGGACTTGTAAATAAGGTACGACTCTGTAAGCTCTCTGTCTCTTGCAGACGATAAGTTTGACTGAAGTATGTAAAGCTTGAAATTGTCAAAGTTGTGTCCTGTTACATCAAAAAGCTGTGCCACTGCTTTTGGTAATTTCTTTGTCGTGTCCGCGCAATGACCGTTTAATCTAACATTAACAGGCTGGCTGTCTTGTTTTGCCAAAGTAACGTTTTCATTAGTGCAGGTAAAACTACTGTAAAAGCCGAAATATAGGTCGGACTGGAATATAGGTCAACCCCCCGACCTTGAATTTCTCAAAAAGAAATTTTTAAAAATCATTAATTATCATAGCACACCCGTACCTTGATAAATATGCGACACAACCAGCTGTTTTATGGTTGACATTTTATTTTATTTTGCCACTAATCTTATGTAGTGAAATGCCAGAAGGCCACAAAGTGCTGTTACTCAGACTCGTCCGAACTTGAGTCGGACAATGTCTGTTTCCCACTAGTTACATCCTCGAGTCCATCGTCCTCCGTATATCCAATGCATTGCCATACCTGCCAAGTCTCCCAGATACGCCGGGAGACTCTCGGATTTTGACCGTTTCTTCCGTTTGTACGGTTGTTATGAAAATCTCCCGGAAATCGATATTTTGGTGCGTGATCCAGCCGCCTTGACAAAAAAGCAGCTCGATCAGCTCCAGGCTTTTCGAACCTACCCCATTTTATTATGAATGAGATTAAGAGGCGTTTGTCTAAACGTACAGTAGAATCTCAGTGATGCAAAACCGCGGCAGATGCGAATTTGTAAAATTCCTCAGTGCAATTCCACTATGTCTATTGGGCATTAATTTGAATGTTCCAAACACATTCCTAATTGCGGCAAGCGATACGAACTTTAGTACGGAAATTGTCGAACGAAGGTCGAGAGCAGCGTACTCGAAGCTTCAGAAGAACGTGTGCGACACACTGCTTTCTACAGTGTGCGTGATTGTCGTTGCCACAACCGCTGTCGATGAAACCGTGGTCACTTTTCATGCGATCATGTATAACTGACAGAGTCTCGAAAGTGTGCGTCCATCCAACACTCAACCAGTCAAAGCTATGCTGCTTTCTGCAACCCCTGCGGACAAAACCGCGGCAGATCGTATACGGCATAAAACGACTTTGTTTTGAAGGCGCGTGCGCAGTCAAGCGCACGGGGATTGAAAATGGAGCTACCATTTGCTGCAACCACCGTGCGCAACATCGTGGTCGCGGCGGTGCAATAGCGATCTACAAGCTCCGAGGGCACGCATGAGTAGACTAAAGACGATAAATGCGTTTAAAAAAAAAGTCAGTTTCCCCGCAAGGGCGAAGCAATGAATGCGACAGCAACAACTTGGAATGTCACACTGAGAACGGCAAACAGATCGAAACACGCAGTGCATTGCTCACGCACAAATGACGCACGAAAACAATTCACACAAGACGAGGGCGAACTAACAACGTTTACAACTCGACACGTAACGTGCTGCTTGAACAAAAAAAAAGCAATGCTCGGTACATAACCAAAGGTACGGATGAGTACAAACTAACAAGTGTCCCTGTTATACCTTGCTGTGTATGAAAAGCGCGCTCTTCTCGCAAACGGGGCCTGTGCATAGACTGAAGATATCTTTGTGGGCCTGGCAACTAACACAATTGTTCCAGTGAAAGCCAAAGGCACACGATTCTCCCCACCGAAAGATAAGCGCGCACGCACAAGCATCAACCCCATCCGCGGGGCAAAGTACGTGCCAGAGATAAGCGGGCGTCTGCGCATTGCGACGAGCTGGGCACCGAGCGCGGGCGGCTTTTTTTTCTTTTCTAGAGTGTTAACATATATAGATAAGTATACATATACGGTGAATGACGGCGGTGGCGGAGACGGCAAAACACCAGCCTAGACTGTCAATACCAAAGGGGCCAGACGCGTTTTGGCTTTCCTGTCAAAAGAATCTAGTAGGGAGCAAAGCTTTGATGCGCGCTTTTGCGGCAGCCAGCTGCGATGTCCTGTTCGTTCACTTGGTTACAGATACACGAGCTATTTTGAAGAAAATAAATTCTGCTAGTTGTGTTGATCCTTTGAGACTCTCACCTTAGTGGGAAACCCTACCTTCGTGTGCTCGGCCACTCCATGCCGACCGCAACGCTGATGTTTGCACTTGCGACTGAGACTCTCCACCCCTTCTTGTTTTTTGCGATGTTTTTTTGTTTGTTTGTCCTTGGGTTTTTTTTTTGGTGCAAAAAAAAAAAAATAGGAGCAAATAATTCAACCCCCCCCCCCCCCCCTCCTGCTGCAGAAATTTCCCGGATTCAGAATCCTTGAACTTGGCAGGTATGCATTGCTGATGCAGCACTTGTGGAAAGACTTGCGCACCATCTCTTCTGAAAGAGACTTCCAAGCTCACGACAGCCGGCCACAAATGGTCACAAGCGGTGGACGTTGTAGGTGGCTGCGGGGGCCTTGGTATTGTCGCCCGGCATGTTGCCGCGGACGTGATCTTCGAAAGGTTTATTGAGCACTACATCCAGTGGCCGAAGGATTGATGTTTAGTCCCCCAGAGATCACGACGTCTGTCTTGCCATCGAACAGAGCTCCCTTTACATCGGCTGTGAGGTGGCCTCAAAATGAGTCAAGCACCAACATGTTCGGTCGCTGAAAAAGCGCACAAGTTTGCCAATTCTACACGAGCAAGATTCACTCAAGCACGAGAGACTTACTCATGAACCCTGTTTTGGCCGCTCTCACTATAACATTCCGGGGAATGTCTTCTTTTAGTAGCCCTTTTTTCTTGAAAATGACGCAAAGGGGCGACGTCTTTCTATAGGCTGTGCATATGAACATCACTGTAAATTGCATGTTCGTTGACCGTTGTCAAAAGCTTCACTTGCTTCAATCAATTAATCAATCAGTCTCTATTTTAATGGCAAAACATGAGTAATTATTACAAACTAGCTGGACCATTAGCCTACATTGCCTAGTGGTTGGTTTGTATCAGAGTACGTAACAGATTAATAGAGCATGTATGTTTACATGCACACACATCTATTCTTATATATGAATATATGTACATGCATATACACATATGCATATAAAAATATATACACACGATGTCATATACGTATTTACACAACTAAAAAAGAAAGCAAATCATAAACCAAACAACATGTAATAAGTTTGGTACATAATCACATCCTTACATCTTATATAACTATGAAATGTTCAATACACCACTGAACATGATAAGAAAACAGAGAAAGAAACTGTTCACAAGCATTGATCTAGCTAACAAAATATTTTTACATTGAGCTTAAAGTTGCGCGCTACCTTAACTTCTTTAGTATTTTGTTCCGAAGCTTCGTTCTGTAATATTCCAATAAATATTTCTCATATAACTTATACTTAGGAGGTAAACTGAAATTGTCGTTGGATGCATGTTTAGTGTTTGGCGATGGTATGATGAATAGATTGGAGGAGAGGGGAAAGCTGGTGCCTATGATTTGGTAAACAGAAAGGGCAACTTTATAATGATGAAGTGCCGAGACTGATAGGATACGTTGCTCCTGAAATATATCATTTGGATCCTTTTGCAGTCGCAGTCCGGTTCAAAGGTATATCATACCAGATCAAAGTTTCGGCAGCGTTGCCCATGTGCATCATCATGTAGCAATGCTGTTGACGAAGCCCTAATACTCTACTAGCTTGCTATAAAAATTTTCCTGCAGTTATTGGCACACGGAAGTACACCGCCTTAGCGCAGAGCCCTTCCGCTTCATAAATCAGCACAACCATGATGGCAAGCCCTTGAATGGCGTCCTCATGAGCCCTGAGTTGCGCGCTATCTTGATAGATTTCGTGTTGGTGCACTCCGCTGTCACGGGTAGCGACCTTGCACACAGCTCTACGACTAATTTGGCGAGTAGCGTTTCCAGTTCGAGGTGCACTGCAGTCCGTCCACGAAACCAAGCTTTTTTTTATTGGTTGCTGCAAGATGTGATGTGCTGCTTTTGGCTCCTCCAGTATCGGATGCTTTTTTCTATGCACTGAATTCCCGTTGTGCCACCACGTTGCCGTGCACTTTGGCATATTCGACAACTTTTTCTTAAAGCCTACCGTAAACTGTCATCAACCACCACTCATTTCTGAAGGAAATACAAAAAAGAACACAGCATACTGACAAAGCAAGGCCCAAAGCAAAAAATGGCATTGCTAGTACACTGAAGACCCCAACGCCAGCCATGAGCAGTGAGTTAGCCGCAGGCAACAAGGCCTGCCACCGGAGTGCAGGCTTGTACCTGCACGACTCCAAAGACCAAGAAATTGACGTTGACCACGGTAACAATGACAACACCTGTGCCACCTGCACCACTCCTGCCCTGACAACCCATAGAGCCGCCAACTTTTTGTGTTTCGCCTTTCGAAGACCCGGAAAGCTGGCTTGAAAGGTTCGACCGCATCGCCGTCTTCAACGACTGGAGCGACGATGACAAGCTTCGACATGTCTCTTTCGCTTTAGAAAATGCTGCTCATACTTGATTCAAGAATCAAGA